AAATATAAATAAAAATTATAATACTTATTTCTTCAAATAATCTTCAAGTTATTTCAGTATCTCGCATAAATCATAAAAGGATATTCACGTGAAATCTACATTCTTCGCATTATACAGCGCCGAGTTCTTACGGTCCATTCATTTCATCGAATTATAAAGTCTGTTGCGGTTTCTACGTGGCACTGATCCAGCGAATTCATCACTTCATTCTATAATTTAATCCGGAAAAAAACACGATAAAAGAGCACAAAGCATGGCCAATATTTAAATTTCCACATCTTTTTCAGACTAAGAAAATGTTTTCTTGTTTACATATATTTTCCTCGTATTTTTGGAAAAATTATTAGAGCTTGAAAGATTAAATTTACAGGATAGATTTCAAATATTATATATAAATATATATATAAACAGAATGAAGTAATATCCTCGGGCTGAAGGAAATACATTTATTCCATTTGCTTCTTCATAAAATTTAGATGAAAGTATTAAAAGAGAAAAAAAATCGCTGGAGAGGTGCCATACATAAACTACGGAAGACAGGAATTTTGGATAAATTTTAAGTAATTCTAAATATATTTTTTAAGAAAATTGTTTGCTTTTTTTACGTGGCAATTCTCCAGAGATTTGTGTTACAGTTTTAGACGTAATATTTTATTCAAATTATGTGAATTAGAATAAGTAGAATGTTTTCAGTACGCGGTATTCCTATTAAGAGCTTGTTTTTTTCCTCCTCTCTTCTTGAATCAAGATTTTGGAAGAAAAATGCACTTTAGTTTTCCTTAAAACAAAAATCGTTATCTACTTATTACCAGATAACGATTTCTGTTCTGATAATGACGTCTATAAGATATATGATTGAAATCAATTGCGAATCCAGTAGTTTCTCGTGATTAAAAAATGACTTTTTGCATTCATTTTGTCGATTCAATTAGTCCTTCTGTTCATTATTTGTCCGCCGGAAAGAATTCTTAGGAATTTAAATTTTTTTTTTTTTTTTTTAAAGTGGGAGACAAATCAGAAGTCATAAGATTGGATTCAAAAGATGAAATCAAAGGAGTGGAATCAAGTAAAGATGATGTTCGAACAAACAGAAAAAAGAAGAATTCGGGAGATAGTAAAACAGGAAAACCAAGAAGAGCAAGAACTGCTTTTACCTACGAACAATTAGTTGCTTTGGAAAATAAATTCAAGACAACTCGATATTTATCTGTGTGCGAACGTCTAAACTTAGCTCTTTCACTCAGACTTACTGAAACCCAAGTAAAAATTTGGTTTCAGAATAGGAGAACAAAATGGAAGAAACAGAATCCTGGAATGGATGCCAATAGTCCCACTTTGCCCCCTTCACAAAATAGCAGTCTCAGTACTTCCTATGCATCTCCTCCCGTATATCCTACCACGTCCAGTTTGTTGTATGGTAATCAGTTACCCTATCTCTCCACTTCAGCTCTTCCTTACCCTTTAATCGCCACTAATCAACCCTTCACAACCTCTCATCCATATTTTACACATTTGGGACATTCGTAGATGAAATAAAAATCCTTTATAGGATATAACCTATACGTTATGACATAACAGTCTGCCAGGAAAGTTCTGTAGTAATTGATTTAAATAAGTTTTAAAATATTCAAAATTTATTTGTGTTTTCCCCCCTCCCTCCTTTTGCAAAATTAAAGCTAGTTAGAAGTAAAATTAATAATAAACAGTTAAATTTCTGTACAAATTTATCTTTAAATGTATAAATCAAATACTTCTTAACTTCTTGGCAGTGCTGCTTAAGAGAAAAATATCTCCATGATGTGTGCTTCTCAACATCCGGATCTAACTCTCAAGATGAAGAATGTTTGACTAATTTTCTCACGCGTAAGTTCGGTATTTTTGTACAGAGTCAATACCATAAATATTTTAAATCTTTCGTTATTACCTAATTTAATTTCCGGTTGCAAATTATTCCGAGGAGCATAAATATTATAAGAAAAAAAAAATAGTGTCATCTGTTTAAATCGGTAACATTCCACAAGGAAAAAAAAAGACTGTAAAGCAGGGATGTCAATTAAAGATTTTGGTGCCAAAATCTTAAAGAGTAAAATAAAAATGTTCTTTTTTGTCCGTTTTATTTATGAGTGATTTACTTAAACTGATTGGGTCAAAGGTGACACGAAGTCTAACAATAAACACACTGTTTTATTTTACTTAATTTTCGTTTTCAAATTATTCCGAGAGACATAAATCGGTTTAGAAGGCCTAATTTATGCTTAAAAAAAAGAAAAAAAAAAAGAACACGAAAANTATCATTTAATTTATCGATATATTGATAAGAATTACGGTAAGTAAATAACCTATATATTTAATTTCGTAAAGTTTTATTTAATCTTTCGACCACGGAAGCTTTAGTATTCGAATGGGTCGAATAATGATTAATTTTATATTTTTTAAACAAACTTTTTACTAACCTATTATAAAATTCAGTTCCCTTATCAGTTTGCAGATTTTTGGGAATATTTCATTTAACAATAATTTGAAAAGCTTCCAAAATAGACTTAGGTTTTTTATCCTTTATTGGCACAACGTAACAATATTTACTAAATACATCAATTACAGTTAATAAATATTTTATTCCATTATTATATCTAGAAAATTGCTTTAATACGATTAAATCGGCCTGCCATAGATCGTTAGGATAAAAAGCTTTAGTTTTTCTTCGCGAGTATTTAATTCTTACAGGTTTATGAAGCGAATAAACTGGTTGCGAAGACAGCCATTTTTAGACAACAAATTTCGGTAAATTAGAAGCTTTAGCTAGTTTACTCACTCCTCCAAACTATGCCGAAGATTTAGGATTATAATATATCAATTTCAAAAGTTTCTCCATTCAGGACTCTTTATCCTCTTTTTCGTAGATGATTTTTTCCACTGGTAAAATGTTCTCGAAGAAATTGAAGAAAAAATTTTTTCGGGACTTTCAACAGGTATCGGTTGATATCTTGGTTGTTCGCTGATTTCAGGTAGAGTCGTCAAACTCAAACTTTTGTTTCCAATCCACTCTTTAGGGATATTTACTTCTCGTAAGGCTTGCCAAAATTCATTAAAACAAGAAGGGGCTAATGGGGTTTTTCTATTTCTCATTAAATGAGATATTAAATCCACCATATGACTTCCAACAACTGGCTTACCGCTGATTGTCAATTCGCCTTTTTCATTCCATCTGTAATAATTTTGTCTCAGTCTTTCGATTAAATGCAGAATATATTTTCGATATAACTGGGGGACAGATATAGTTATTTGTTTAACAATTACATCCTTGCCATTATCATCGGGTTTTTCTTCGGGTTGAGAAGACACTTCTTGATTTTCATCCGGTACGCCGGATACTCTAACCGGTTCTTTTGGTGCATGAATCGTTCTCTGATATCTCAAAATCAGTTGACTTAATAATTTAACTTTACTATCGTCGGACAAATCGGTACTCTCGAGTAATTTTTCAATATTATTAGCAATTCTTATTTCAGGTTTCCGATATGCTGCTAACAGTTCGGGAGGGACTAAAGCCATTTGCTTTGCCATTAGATTCTTTTTCCTATTACTTTGCCAATTAGTCCGCCTGCCATAGACAATAATGGCGCCAGTAGAAGAGGAAGGAATCCACCAGATTGATTAACTAAAATTCGTTGATGTTGTCGAAATCGTGTTGTATTTGCTTATTGTGTACAGGCACAATGAAGTGACGTTTTTCTCAACACTGGGCTAGTTGAATCTTTTATTTAGTTAGAACGTTTTTTCCATACATCAACGTTTCGGGCATCAGCCCCTCTTCAGCTAACTAAATATATATAAAAATATTTAACAGGACACAAATAAAAACCAAAAAACTCACATAAATTCTTNGTTGTTTTAATTAATTAATGAAACAATATATTAAATAATAGACTTTTATGTAACTCTTTAACCTCTTTTTTTTTACTCTTGGTTAGCCTCTTTTCATTTGTTTCGGGTCAGTAAACTAGGTGAATAGAATTACGAATCCGCAACTTTTCACAAGAACACTTCCAATATTCAGAATCCCGTGACTCACGACCTCATCGATCAGGACACTAATACTGAATAATCAACGCTGTTTTATTTTATTTAAAGGCACATAAAGCCGAATTTTGGCTCAAACAATAGCGAGGAAATATATATATATATATACCTTCTAGCCTAAGGCCTAGCTAATTGGATTTTTCTGTGTTTTGTAATTTAGAGATAAGTTTAAATTTATTATAAAATGTTAAATTGAAATATATTTTAGTATATTTTCTTATTATTGATGTTTTTAATGGGAATAATTGCGTACAGAATTGAAAAAAAAGAGTTGTTTTTGAACGAAAGAATAGAAAGGAACTAAATATCTCAATTAAACGCAACTCGATCAGAAGGTAATAAAACAGTTTTTTATCATAACTAGATGTTCCGAAGGGAAATTCGAGTAGGAATTTCCATTTGCATCGACTAAGAGGTAATCTTCATTTCGCGTGGCAACCTGGCGACAATTGCAGTATGGCTCAGTCAAGTGAAGCACTGCTTCCTCTAGAGTAATATCGGGTGGCATAAAGCACCGTGATGAATAGATACTGCGAACAAATTGACTCCTGCAAGTGCAACCGTCTGCCAATCCGACACGCTCTGCGATTTCTAAATGATTGGCTTATGCGCCTGGAAGGAGTAAGTGATGCTATAGTATCGGTAATTTAACGAATTTGTCACACCCAAAAGCGATTGTGTAACGTCTCCATCCATTAATTACTACCTTCTCTTCTACAATTTCCAAATCAAATCAAAAGAAACCATGCCTGTAATAGGCTTAAAGAGTGCAACTCTGACTTCTTGTAAGTGTTGCGGAGGAGACAAAATGGGAGATTATGTGATGCGATTGGAAAGATGTTTAAGTGGATTACAAACGCTTTAGCGAGATGATAACAGTCTTCTAAATTGAATCAAGCAAAATAGCCGAGGATATCGCAAAATTGATTGTCAATTATAGGAAAATTTAGTTACTCCTTATTAATAACTATTCTGTTATAGTTTTATGTTATTTAAACTTATATAAGCTATTATATTCATTTATAACATTCTTTAATTTGATCCTGACATAAATTACGATTAAAATTTATATAATTATTTTCAGTTAAATTATTATAAATGTTTTTAATTAGCGATGAGAGAACGTTAAGAGAAAATTGAGCGGAGAGAGATACCATCTGTCGTGGGAAGCGACAGATGACATTTTCTACAGTACCTGCCTGATAAATTCTACTTACTGGTCCTTTAACAATGATGATATATATATATATACACTACTGTTTAATAACAATTAAAATATTATGAATCAGAAAATTACTGAAGAAGGATAGAAGATTTATAAAACCATTTCTGACAATTGCCTATTAATAACTCTTAAGACGAGTTTAAAAAAAACATTAGAATTAAGAAAGTTAATGATGTTAAATGTATTTTAAACTAATTTTAAACAAAACTAAACACAATATTAAACAAATTTCAGGATAAAACATTAAAATTAAAGACATTAAACATGCACAAAAATTTCCTTTTAAAAATCATAAAATATTGAAATAATTAGTTAAAATATTGGGCAGTTTAGGAACAAAGTAAAGCAAACTCTCCCTCTTTTTTTTGCAGAAAAGAGGGAACCAATCGATCGACAGTTGGGCAACGAATTGGTCCGACTCTAATCCATCACAAACGCAGACTGCGGCTTTCACTGTGGTTCCTAATTGCCGCAAATAAGAACATAATACTCATCAATGAGAAGGATTTGGACGTAATCCATCTCCTGCAATGGCCAGACCAGGAGAAGAATGATTTAAGTTCATACTATTTATTTTCCTTCTTTCTTTTTTTTTTTATTTTTATTTTTTCGTTTTACTTCTCTTAGCTAAATCCCTGCGGTCGGGAAAATGTTTTACATTGTTCTTGTTGAAAATCGGCTTTAATTTTTCAAATGCCTCTTGTAATTCTAGTCTATTTTTAAATTAAAATTTCAATTAGAGAGTTGCGTGATTGTGATTAAAATGCTAAAATACCCCCCCTCCCCTAGTTATAAAGCAGTCACTCCTTTCAGTTACCATAATAATAATAATAATAATGAAAAGCATTTAATTCAATTTTCTAATAATTTAGGATAAGTATAAGAAGAGATAAGCAATTAAGCTTTTGTGCTATTATACAAAATAGCGCACTTATGATTATAAATACAAGGATAATTATGGGATAAAGATTAGAACCAAAATAACGTATTGATAAATTTTTAAATTTCTGTGAAGTGTATAATTAATTTATTATTCTTGTATAAAGCGAATTTATTCTCGTCACTTTATTCAAGTATTATCTTTAGAAACATAATGAGCAGATTATTAATTTGACTTAATTGATTATTAATCCTGTTATTCTACATCCTTGCCCTTTTTGTATGTAAAATATTAATTATAGAGCATCTCTTGCAATATTTTCATGCATTAAACTTGGCCAGAAAAGTTATAAGAAGGTCAATTTTTTTTTAATTAAAAAGGTATATAAAACATCAATTTTTTTTAAAAAAAATATGAAAATATAAAAAATAAATTTCATAAATTTTTGTTATTTTCTTGAAACAATTGAAAATTTGATTAAATGAATTATACCAAAATGACTTTTTTTTAAATTTAAAATTTAATTTTTTTTTATTTTTTCATAAAGAAAATAAAATAAAAATTCTAAAATTGTTTATGAAATTGTCTTCTCTTTGAGTTAAAAAGTAATTTAATTTATAAAATAATATATATTTTTTTTAAATA